ACATATAAAAATATCAAAAAGAACAAAACCCATGGCTGGAATCCACCCACAACTTGCCGTCCGGCCACCCAACCGGCTGGAATCCACCACTGGTCGACTCCCCTCATCAATTCGAAGCTACCTATGTAAACAATTTCCTCCAACAAGCAACCAACAACCACCAATTTCAAAGCAAAGACAGTCAAGTCGAGAGTTCACACCAGCGAACATTTCAGATCCAGATTGAAGATGATTGGAGCCAAATTGAAGGGGACCCATGGCTAGGGTAGGTGTACTAGGTGATGGCGCACCCAGCCCAGGTGTTCTGCCACCATGGGTCGTCACGACGGTGCCTGAATCGTGACAGGCAGCTTTCAATTTGAAATCAGATCTTATCCTTGTTGTTTGGGCTAAATTGTTTGCATGGTCGAGGTCGTCCTGAGTAGGAGAGTTGGCAAGTGGTATGTTCTTGCCAGGAAGGTGGCCGGACGGCGTGATTTTGGCTTTTGACCGCATTTCATGCGATGAAGTTTGAAGCTCGATTCCGGTCAAATCTGCTAGAGTTGATTGGGTGGGTTGTAAACGGGGCAATGAGGGCTTCAAGGTGGTATGTTGGTCCGGCGGCCAAGGTGATCGGAGGTTGGGGATTTTGCTTTCAAAGGTGGCGGCTTAAGGGGATGATTTTTTCATATTTATGACTAATTTGCACCTTTTTAAAAGTTGAACCCATAATTGCAATTTATTNNTTTTCTTTTGTGTTTGTTTTATTTTAATAGAATGATAAAATGGTCAAAAAGAGACGAAAATGACGTTTTGCGCAAGAAAAAGTAAAGGTAGGGACATTCTGCTCCAAAAATGCGAAAGATATGGACGTTTTGCACAAAAATGTGCAAAGGTAGAGACGTTTTGCGCCAATTACCCTTATTATTTTATAAAGGATAAGGATTGTGTATTAGACCAACAATAAAGCCAACTCATCATTTATATTCATTTAACACCTGGTTATAACATAGAAAAAGTTCAAAATTGATATACAGGTCAAAGTCCCTCCTACCGTGAGGGTTTTCCTCGCTTCCTGCCGGTGAAGCTTTTCTTTCCTTCCGGTGGTTTCCGCCGTGAAGGTTTCTTCCTTCCATTTGTGAAGGTTTTCGCCCCTCTCTCAATCCTCCATTTTTTCCCCTTTCCCTACTCCTTAATCCCCTAAATAATCATCTCTCTTTGAGCCCGTCGTGGGGTGGGAGCTTGGGCTCCCACCACTCCCTGTTTTGCCTTTCCTGTTTTCCTTTTCCTTTTTCGTTTTCTTTTTTTTCTTTGTTGGTTTATGGCCTGACGATTCGTCGCTTTGCTGGAGGGTTTTTGGGCAGGGTCGGTGGTATGGTCGGATGAGCTTCGGTGATGGTGTTCGTGTGGGCCTAGGTTGTTGTTGCGTGGCAGGAGAGGTTCGGTCGGAACTTTGTGGTTGGCCTCGGTCGTCTTGGGGTTTATTGTGGACAAGGCCGACGGGACTGCTGCCGTTGTTGGAGCTTCGCCGACGGGCAGTTTTGGCTGGTCTTCCAGCGTTGCCGTGGGTTGGTGGAGGTGGTGTGATGGTTTTTGTTGGTTGTTGTTTGATGGTGTATTGGGTGTTTTGTTTAATTTGTTGTTTGGTTTGTGATTTGCTTTGGTTGATTTGGTGTGTGGTATGTTTGGCATTGGTGAAGTCCAGACAATGTCCGTCTCCTGGTGAGCGGGGGTGCTTGAGTGCTGTGCGCGTAGTTTGGCTTTATGTTGGGCTTTTCAAGCCTTGGTAAAGTCACAGATGTTTTCGACTTCTTTGTAATTGTTTGTTTCGGATCGTGTATAGCTTGTTTGTATTTGGGTTGTTTTGTGTTTGTGGTTGTTGTTTGAGNTCTTGTTAAATGTCTTGTGGTAGTTATTTGGGCTATGGAAGCACTTTATCTCTCTTTGGAGAGCTTGTGTTGGAGGTTTTCTCCGTGTATCCGCGTTATGCGCCTTCTATGAAATACTCTGTGATTCAAAAAAAAAAAACACCTGGTTATCTAGTCGTACATTTCATCTTTGGCGTGCTCTGAATCCGATGATTTCACGCAAGAGGGGTCGGAGCTGCTAAAGCCACTGGCGGTGATTGGTTTGTTACTAAAAATATGTAATTTGTCTTTAAAGAATTATGCTTCACGTGCATTCTGCATTGACATTAAGGTTGTCATCTTGTTTATATGTCGAAAATCTAGTCATTGATTGAAAAATGTATTCTTAACGTACATTCTGCATTGACATTAAGGT